CTTGTTTGCCAGACACCACTTCAATTGTCAGCTCTTTTCTCTTTTTTTCTTCTTGTTATGCATTGAAATGTGCCAAAAAAGATATGGTGAAGTCCTAACCCCTAGTCCCTCAGAATGACCTTATTTGGAAATAGGATCATTGAAGATGTAATTAAGATGAGGTGATATGGAGTAAGACAGGCCCTTAATCCAATATTGCCATGTGAACCAGAGACAGAGAGTGTAGTGATGTTGCCATAAGCCAGGGAATGCCTGGGATACCAGATGCTGGAAGAGGCAAGGACGGATCCTCCCCTAGATACTTCAGAAGGATCATGGCCTTGCCAGCACCTTGATTTCAGACTTCTAGCTCCAGAGCTGTGAGAATAGATTTCTGCTGTTTTAAACCACCAGTTTATAGTGCTTAGTTATGAAAACCTTGGGAAACTGATGTGCTCCTCTCCCACACTTTCTGACCCCCATGCATTACTTATCCATTGCTGCGTACCAAGACTACCATAGAGTCAGCAGCCTAGGACAACACACATTCCTCTCCTTCTTTCTTTTGGTCAATAGTCCTGGCACAGCTTTGGGTCCTTCGGTCAACATGTCAGCCAGGTCTGGGTTTGCATCTGAAAGCTCAACTGGGAAAGGATCCACTTCCAAATTCACATGATGATTGGTAGGGTTCAGGTCCCGGTGGGTAAACAGACTGAGAGCCTCAGTTTCTTGCTGGCTGTGGGCCACAAGCTGCCCTCCATGCCTTACCACATGGGTCTCTCCACTGAGCAGCTCACAACATGACAGCTAGCTCCAACGAAGTCAGCAAGGGACAGAGGCTCCTTGCAACAGATGGGCGTTACAATCTTCTCATTCTGTATTTAACCACAGACGTGACTTCTCATCATCTTTGCTGTATTCTACTGATTAAATGTAAGTCTCAGGTCTCATCAACACCAAAGAAAGGGGACAACACAGGGACATGATCACCAGGAGGTGAGGACTACAGGAGCCACACCCCACAAGGAGGAAGGACAGCAAATTCTTCAGGGATTAGGTTTTTAGGCTGAACTTCCAGGGGCTTAAATCACTCTGCTCTCTCCCCTGTCACAGTCTCCTCATACATCCAAGACATTAAAAATTATTTTTTCTTCCCCCTTCACAAACTGAGTGCAACTTCTCACTGCTCTTTTCCCAACTTTCCTCCTCTTTCCCTGCTATCAGTTGGACCACGGCATAGAAGGGGGTTTCCAAATCCTGGGGCAGGGGAAGAGTGGAAAAGTTGAAACAGGCTGACCCCAGGCAAGGACAGGCTGTGTTCTCCAGCATTCCGACAGGTGTTACCTTGCTTTGCAGGGTCGGGGAGGGAATGAACCACTACTTATGCTCATCCACTTTTTCCTTGCCTCTGCTGCCTGCTGCTGGGCTCTGGGGTCAGTTCCAGTTTAGGGCATGCATAGTGCTCCCCTAACAGTCCATGTGTTTCTATTTCCCCCACCATCCTTTGCAGTTAGGCTGGAGCCATGTGACTGATTCAGGCTAATTAACAGTGCAAGTTTGGTGTGATAATTCTGGGATGAAGCCAGTGTACCTCCTCCCACCCTTCCTTCCCTGACTTGGTAAATTTGGAGACCAAGTGTTGAGAGAGCAGTGCCATAAGACAAAGGGAGCTTGGTCCCTGAGAGGTGGTTTGGAGTGCCCTTGCCATGCCCCACAGGACTTCATCTGAGTGAGAAATAAAGTCTGAAGTGTTGAGCTATTGAGACTTTAGGATTTGTCTACCGCATCAGCCCAGCAACAGGTAGCACAACTTACCACATTTATTTGAATTTCCTTATCAGTCCCTAGGCAAGCTGTTGCAAAGAAAAGCTCAGCCAGGCACATCTAAATCATCTCAAACCTGCACTGGGATACACAGATCTGCCAGAGCCACTTGGTATAGTGACACTGGCTGTTGGCTCTGTTCTCTACCCACTTACAAGCTATGTGACCTTAGAGAAATTATTTAGCCTCCATGTCTGTTTCCAGACCTGTAGTATAGGATTCTACTAGTAACTTGAGAGAAACCACGTGGAGCAGTGGAAGAGTTCCCGGCTCCTCGTTGCTTTCACAGCTGGGGTGTAGGGACACTCTGCGAAGCCCGTCTCCAACCCTGTTAGCACAGGCCTCTGGGGTTTCTCCTCAGCCCACCTGTTCCCAAAACAAATCTCAGTCTCATTTCTTTTGCCTTTCCCCAGTTCCCTCTCTTTCAGGCTATTACCTTCCTTCCCTCAACACTAGAGGGTGCTTCAAGTCAGGCACCAACCAAAATCAGATTCTCACTCAGTCCATTCAGCAGCTGGTGGGGGCTGGGCAGTTGGCCAAACTTAGAGCATATCACTTAGAACTGGGAGATGGGCTTCTCCCCATCAGAATGGCCAACCAAACTTAAGGTCACATAGCACATGCCCTATTCCAGAATGATCCCAGATTGCTTCCTTGGAGCCCTATTCTTTTCCTTCCTAATAACTACCAATACTTCTAAATCACTTATATTGTATATACTTCTTTCTATGCTAATTGGTTTAATGTTCCTCTCCCCCAGCACCCCAGCAGACTATCAACCAAGGGATGTGTCTGTTTTGTTCACTGTCTCTTTTCAGTGCCCAGCAAAGTGCCTGATGCATAATACCTTCTTGATAAATACTTGAAGACTCATTAAATTAATCCCCCCATCTTTTCTCATTCTTTATCCCACCACCCCCTCACTCCTCAACACCAGAGTCATCCACCTGACCTTGTGCTACTTATCACTGCCATCCCAACCTTATCACCTTTGGTTATTGTCACAATTTCTTAAAAGGTTTTAATTTTTCCAAATATTTTCCTTTCAGTACATTTTGTCTACCGCCACTACCCTGCCCAAAAAAACATTACCTACGGGTTCAATTTCTAGATGCTTTCGAGACATATTGACAAACAAATTCATGTAGATGGGAACAACTCAGATGGTGAGAGGAGGCTGAACTTCTCTGAGGCTCCAGAATTCTTATCCATATGGTAGAGATAGTACTACCATCTGACTTACGGGGTCATTGCAATGCTTAAATGGAATCATGGCGGGCATGGCCACTGGCAGAAAATAAACAATCTAATAAAGGATGGTTATTTGCATCAATAAAAATATTCTATGATTTTAGTTCAAAGGAATGAGAAATGTTCAGGTTGATAAAATAAAAACTTCAGCCAAATTAAATTTGAAGGAGTTTCATTGAGCAATGAACCATTTGTGAAATGAGCAGACTCCTGAGTCAGAATAGGCTCAGAGATTCCAGCACAGCCATGTGGTGGAAGATTTTTGGACAGAAAAAGGAAAGCGACGTACAAGAAAATGTAAGTGTGTTACAGAAACAACTGGATTGGTTACAGCTCAGCGTTTGCCTTATTTGAACATGGTTCAAACAGTTGGCTACATTTAATTGGCTAAAAGTCGGTGATTGGCACAAGTGTAGGCTGCAGTCTGTTTACACCTCCCACTTGTTAGAGTTCACAATGTACAGAGAAACTTTAAGGTCAAACTTAAAATACGTAGAGGCAGCTTTAGGCTAAATTTGATTTAACAAGGTGAACAAACAGAAGACTCTGGGGGACCATTTCAAAGGCTACTGAGAGAAGTGGGAGTAGATTTAATCCTATATTTCTCCTTTCAGAAGATGTAAGTAGTCCCAATAGGTAGGAATTAAAAGAAATTAGATTTTTCTCAATTAGAATTTCCTAAAATTAGAAATATTTGAAAATGGAATTGACTCGAGTTCCCCGTCCCTGGAGGTAACAAAACTAAAACTGAATGCCCACTTTTAAAAGAAGTATCTGAAGATACTGTGTCCTGAGCAGAGACTTGAATTACGTCACCTCCAAGGTCTCCTACTTTACGATTCTCTAAGAATTTATGATTCCATGAGAACTCTTTCCTAATGTCTTTGGCCCATTAATTTCTCTCACTCTTTGGAGGTTTTATTCTTTTGAATATGTAGGACCTGCTTTGATATTTGAGTTTCCCTATTGCTTCCCAATTAGGTACTGAATATCTTGAGGACAGTAACCATGGGTATATGTCTTACTGCATTCCCTAACATTCCTAGCATTGCAGCATCTGAGTACCTGATAAAGATTTGTTAAAGAGGAAAGAAGGGCTTCCTTTTAGAGAGAAAAACTCCTATGCTGAAGTAGGTGGCACTACAAGATCCCCTTCCCTTCTCTCTTTTAAAATAAAGCTCAGCTTTATGAATTGAACAGTTAGGAAGGAGATGACCCCAGGAACACTGGGATCCTATGTGTCAGCTTTTGAAATACAGAGTGGAACTTTTTATCATTTCCTAGGGCATTCTTGTGTAGGATCCATTTTAAAAAGTGAATGAAAGATTAAGGGTAATGATCTCTGAAGATAGTAACATATTTTGCCTTCTTAAATTAAGTAATTTTGTCAATGTAGTGCTTAAACAACATTTATTTATAACTTAAACAAACTTCAATCAAGATAAAATTTCTCATTATGGAGCCTGTCCTATTGCAGCAAATCTGGAGATTTGCTTCTTTCAGTATTTGGTAGGAAAACAATCCTTGAGCACCATGTTGATACTGGCTTCTGCGTGATTTTGGGCGAGTTGGGTGAGCACACAACAATTTCTATAAAGGAAAACCTTCCTTTATAGGTTTCTATTTCATGGACACTTACAGGTTTAAGTCTAAAGGCAAAGGAGACATTTGGAGGACACTTGGACTCTGGAACTTGAGGGGGAACAGCTGGGCAGATGAACCCCAAATGTTATACTTCCAGATTCTTTTAAATCTTCTGATCCTTCAGGATTTGCCCACCCATCCCTATTGAGAGCTAACTACTCTCTCCTTCCCAATTCTCCCTCCCACACCTTGCTTGAAGACAATGCAGAGGCTTCTTCCCACCATCTCTGCTCCTTGTAACTAGGCTTATAACTAGGGGTAAGTCATAGCATGACCCGACTGGGTATGTGTTGGGTCTGATAATGGAAGAAAAGACCTCAAATGAGCTGCTAGTCCTAGCCAGCCTTTACCAGGAAAAGTCAGAAGAGTTCATGCGGGACTGGATCCTGAAGGTGCTGGATCAAGGGGATGGGAGCATCAGGTAGGACAGGGAAGAGTTTACTGATTTGAGGTCACTCTCCAGAGATACAGGATTTGACACCCTAGCAGGACCCCAGGAGGTGATGCGTCGTTGCTGTTCAAGTGACTCCTGAAAGCAGGGAGACAGTGATGGCCCAAGCTTGATGTGATTGAAGTGCCAGCACTACCCCAGCAGACAGTAGAGGCAGAAATAGAAAAGCTCGGGAAATTAGCATGCTAGAGTGAACACACCATGAGACTGGAAGGCCTACCAGGTGATTCTGTTCCATGAGAAGGGACAGAGTCTACACCATTTACAAAAGCCGGAAAGAATGATCTAGTGAGGACATCAGCATCACTGAAAAGAGCAGTTGGGAATCTCCTCAATAAGCCAGGGTTGATGTTGGAAAGATGGGTAGAATATTTGACTCCGTGATACCAGTGGTGATGACAGGCCCAGAGCCAAAGAAGCCGGGTGGCTGCACTTAACTGCAGAAGCCAAGTGGATGCCATTATTACGATGAGCACGGGGCTGGATTGTCAGCCAAGGATGCCTGACCCACAGAGTTATGGAGATGGTTAAAAGAAGGCGGTACCCCCAGAGACAAAGGAGATAACCAACAAGAGTGTTTATAGCTTCGATTAGAAGAAGTCAAGGATGGACAACAAGGAGTCTGAAAGCAGTCGCCCCAATACAATGTCATGCTCCTTTGGCCTTTCTGGATCTGAACCAGTTTTCAGACATGGACTCAGCCGGGTCTCTGGGAGAAAGAACACTGCAACACCCAGCAAACATACACAGTAACAATTCCATAAACCCTTCCCAAAGGGACCCAGGGTCATTTACCTGGGTAACTGTACCTGTGGAAAGGGAGCAGCTCCCAAATATTCTGAGGCCCCTTGGACTCAGGGTCCAATGAAGCCTCTGAAACTGTCCCATGCCCAGCCAAGATAGTAAATATAAAACAGTATCATGTGTTGGGGGTAATTCTGGAGATTGATGTCATCCATAAGGATTGGAAAGATACTAAAAGAATGGCAGGTCCCATGATGTCTCCATTTAATTCAATAGTTGTCCCCTGCAGAAACTAAGTGGACCTGCAGGATGACAGGAAATGACCATACACTCAACCAGAGAGTAATCCCATTTTCAGCCACTGTGTCTGTTTACCTGCTACATGCAGATAGCAAAGCCTCAGGTACATGGTGTGCAGTCTTGATCTGGTGAATGCATTCTTTGCTATTCCCTTCAGAAAAGAGGGTTAGAGACCATCTGCATCTGTGCAGATGAATAACAATATATACTTAGAGTTTCACCCCAGGGCTCTTAACTCCCCTGTCCTCGGTCATAATACAGTCCAAAGGAATCAACATCATCTAGACATCATGAAAAATGTCACATTGACCCATTATTTGATGCTCTCATGCTAATCAGGGCACATGAACAAGAAGTGGCTACATTTGGGAGGCCTTTTAAGACAAATGGATCAGAAGATGGACGAGAACCTATGAAGAATTAAGGGCCTGTCACATGGGTAATATTTTTAGGAGTTCAGTGATAAAGAGCCTGCCAAGAAACCTCACCCAAAGTAAAAGACAAGATATTACACCTTGCACGTCCTACCACAATAAAGAAAGCAACACATCTGATAGACCTCTTTGGTTTTGGAGGCAGCATATTCCACAGCTGGAAATACTGCTCTGGCCCATAGACCTAGTGACATGAAAGGCTTCTACCTTTGAGTGGGGCCCAGAGCAGGAAAGGCCTCTGCAGCAGGTCCAGGGTGGGGCCCAGAGCAGGAAAGGCCTCTGCAGCAGGTCCAGGGTGGGACCCAGAGCAGGAAAGGCCTCTGCAGCAGGTCCAGGGTGGGGCCCAGAGCAGGAAAGGCCTATGCAGCAGGTCCAGGCTTAACTATAAGCAGCCCTGCACTCACTAGTGTTAGAGGTCTAGATGGTGGGAAAAGATGCTGTACAGAGCTAATGGCAAGTCCTAGTGGGAGAATCACTACCTACTCATGTGGTCCCCTAAGGTTCTTTTGCAAGGCCATGGCATCTGCAGGGCAGCATCATGTGCCTTCTGAAAAACAACTGGTGTGATACTGAGTCCTGGTTGAGACAGAGTACCTGAACACAAGACACCAAATGAGTATGCATCTGGAACTGCCCATCATGAGCTGAGAGTTATTACACCCACCAAGTCCTGAGGTCAGGCAGACCCAGCAGCAATTCATCATGACTTATAAGTGTTTTAGCTGGGATCAAGCACAAGGACCCAGGAGCACAGCAAGTGGCATAAGCAGGCTGCCCAGACCCTCACAACTGCCACTGTTGCACGAGTGCCCCTCCCCAGGCTCATAAGGGACCACAGAAGAGCATACTTCATAGCCAATGGCAGATAGGGTAAAAACCCAGGCTTGGTTTATAGGTGAGTTGGTTTGGTATCTAAGTTCAAGTAGAAAATGGATAGCAGGTGTTCTACAAGGAGTAGCCTTGAAAGACAGAGTCAGTAGAAAGTCTTTCCAAGGGGCAGAGCTTGGACAGTGCACCTGGTCATCTGTTTTGTGTGAAAGGAAAACTGGCTTAATGTTAGAATACATACAGAGTGAAAGGTAGGGGTAGTGGAACATGGAGGGACAAGGGATTGGGCAGGAACTATAAAGATCTTTGTATTATGTGCTAATGCTCATCAGAGAGAATCCACCATGAAAGAGCCACTAACTGTCAAGTAGACAGGACGGCTTAGCCTTCTAAAATCAGACAGCTTCAGCCATTGCCCACTCTGGTGCTAACACAGTGGACACACTAAGGAAGGTGCACTGTCAGAGAGATGGAGGCTATGCATGGGCCCAGCAGACAGTATAGGCTCCCACTGATCAACACTGTTAGTTACTGTTGCTATTAAATGTTCAACCTACCGGCTACAGAGATGAATGGTGCAAATAGTACCATTCTTCCAGGAGAGGGAGACCACAGCCTTCTCTGTGGCAAGGTAACTTTTTGGGGAGCCCTTCCAACCTGCCAGGACTGGCGAATCATTATCACAGGAGAATGTATATTCCAAACAGCATCCTAACAAAATAATCTTAACCCATAAGAAACATATTCATTTCAATTCCCGGACTCAAGTCACCCCAAAAATATTATGCTAAGAGGTGTTGATCATGTTTTCCAACAGCAATTCATACCAACATTCTAGAATGAGCTACAGCTAAAGTCTTGGGCTAATATACTCCCATCTATGAAACAATCTCCTTGGGATTATTTACTCTGTGCTTTTACCAACAGTCAGTACCTGAACTTAAACTGTCTCCGCACTCAACTAACTGCCTTTGGAACGCCTCCTGTGTTTAGGGGTTGAATATTATTGAATTGCAAGCTTTGTTATCAGGTAAATGGTGGTTGATGTTATAAAAGATTGCTAAATGCCATTATAAAATGATTATTTATGCTATACAAATACTTTCTTCTGTTGTCATTTGGAGAAGTGACAAGTCTCATAGTTCACCTTCCTTTGTGAATTTCTAAGTAAGTGACCAAGGACTTGTATGAATGCAGGTGTTTTAACACAAGGTTTTCTTCAATACTTAGTATTCTACCTGAGCTAGGAGGAACAATGTGCCTTTCCAGCAGACAACAAGGGTAGAAAAAGCTTACAAAGTGGGTACAGTGAGCAGAAAGCTGCCATAACATATAAGGAGAAGGATAAGCCTTGACTACCGAGGAAAGGGAAAAGATTGGGTGAGCCGCGTGGGAGCCTAAAGCACCTCTGTCCACTGCTCTTCATTACACATTAGAAAGCACATTTTGCAGAGGGAAGAGCGTCATATGGATTGTTTTACAACACAGGTAGCTTTTCTTTTTTGGGTTAGCTTTCTCTTTGCTAGTTTTTATTCTCATGTGTGTATGTTTAACAAATAAAGTCATTTGCTAAGTGGGTGGTTGGAGGTGGGAGCTGGAGCACAGGGAATGGGTAAAGCCTGATTACGGAGTCCAGGGCCTGAAGTCAGAAGGTTACAGTGTCATATGCCTATGTAAAGGAGCCCCTGGGGCTTTGTGCTGGGTAAGAAAATTCAATTGTACCCCCAAGAAAAGCACCCAGTATGAAGTTTCCTCCTCCATAAAGCTTCAGAGAAGGGACATCATGGCTCTGAGAAAGTGCTCTGAAAACTGGACCAGTGCATTACAATTGATTGTACTTTACTATAATCTATGTCTTTTGTAATCAAAAGGTCTTCAAAGTGTTCAAAAGTAGATAAAACAGGAAAATATGCCCTTAAGGATGCAAATGGCAGCAACATTTACAAAATGGTGAAAATCTGACAAATGTTTACTTAAGAATATAAATTTAATTCAGAAGTGTCCTTGACAAATTGATTAATTTTTATCTTTTAAATGCCAAAATGATGGGAAGGAAGGAAGGAGGGAAGGAAGGAAGGAAGGAAGGAAGGAAGGAAGGAAGGAAGGAAGGAAGGAAGGAAGGAAGGAAGGAAGGAAGGAAGGAAAGAAGGGAGGGAGGGAGGGAGGGAGGAAGGGAGGGAGGAAGGGAGGGAGGGGAGGGGAAGGGGGAGGGGAGGGGACCCCTGAACAGATGAAAAACTTCAAAGGGATTTTTTTTTGAGAGTTTGATCATGATAAGACACTGGCTCCTTTTGCTTTAAGCCAAGTTAATATTCTCAGCTAATGTTTAATGAAAATTAATTGCATGCTAGGAACTTTGAATTACATGGATTATCACAGTTAATCCACATAATAACTCTGTGAGGTAGGTGTTATTTTCTCCTGTTTGACAGATGAGGAAAACTAGGTTTAAAGAAAAATCTAACCTGACCCATGTCATTTTCCCAGTAAAAAGTAGAACTGAGATCTTAACTGAGAGGAGCAGGGAATCTGACTCCAGAGTCTATGCAATCAAACATGACACTATACTGCTCCATCAGAAGTGGAAGGAGAGAATCTCACCAGGCATTAGCCACCTCTCTACCACCTACATGAGGGGCACTCATTTCTGGAAATGAGTCTCCGAAGGCAGGGCTGCTGTATACAGTTCTTCAGGTTGTGCACTGCTCAAGAGCACCATTACTAAGGAGATACCATTCACACTGTAGATGTAGTTTAATTAATATGAGAGGCTATGGATGGAGGTGAATATATGCAGCTCTAGCACTGGAAGCTGCTGCCTAAATCCTGGGAGAGTACCACACGCAGCTATGCACACCGTTACCAGCACACACGAGCGCACAATTGCCCTGTCACAGCCGAACTCCAAGCACCCCATAGAGTTGGTTTTCTTCCTCTTCTACTGCTTTCAGTGACTTAGTTTCTACCCTCAATCTGTCTTCAAATTTGGAAAGGGAAATGCATGGAGAATATATGCTGCCATCTGTGGCTACAGCCAATTACACAACAACATACCAACTGAATTTATTCTTAAGGAAGAGTATCCCTTTCTAATTGGCCCAGAAGTGCTATATTATCATATTTATCAGGGGACCTAGTGAGGGTCCCTAATTACAGCTTGCAGTGCCCCCGCTCCTCTTGTGCCATTCATTGCTGAGTGCTTCAGCTGTACCAGCCATTTTAATGTCAGTTTCAGACCAATAGAGATTGGAAGATGACATCTTTTACAAGGAAAAAAATAACATAAACTATTTTCCAAAGGGAAATATTGGGGTACTTTACAAGCGTGTCATCTATTTGGGTAAGCCACACTTCTCTATGTCCTCTTTCCATGAAGATCGTCTCGTTTACTGCATTGTGCTTTGTCAGGAACATGAATTAGTAACCACCAGCTCATGCTGTTGAAACGAAGTCAGTGACCCAAGCAAGTGCTTCTCTATGAGAGTTGGAGGAGCCAGTTCAGCTGGAGGGCACTAGCTGCCAGCCAAATGACAGGGGAATTCCTCTCCTGAATTTTGAATTTTCCCTGCCTTCCTACCCAGGCTGTTGCATCACTTGTCTGGGAGATGCCTGAATGGGCCGATAAGCTGGGGCACCCTAAATAATCTGGGACCCCGGACTAGAGGGGACATGCAAGGAGGGAGGATATGTATCAGTGTTTTTTTCTTGAAGCTACTGTACCACTTCTGGAAAAGTTTTTCAGGAATAAGTGACAGTAAGAACAACAAGGGATTAGAACTGGCTTCCTCTTATAAATAATAAAATCCAGAGAGAAGTGACTGGAGTTGAGTGGCAGAGCTACACCTTGCACCCCGACCTTCTGGTGCTAGCTCAAGCTGATTTCCAAGATATGGCTTTGACTTCTCAGTCTCCAGGTTTAAAGAAAAGCAACTAGAAGACGTCCAAACACCTGCATCTCATAAGGAGAGGAAAAGTTCACCTGGATCTTATTTACAGACTGAGATGGATGCAGAAGCCACAGTGAAGTCCAGAGAACAAAAGGTGATGTGAGGCTTTATCCTGGAGGTTGGGGTCTTGCCTCTGAATGTGGGGGGTGAATTGCAGCCATAGCTGTCACACAGGCTCCTCAATGCCCTTCCCAGAGCAGGTGGGCTCCTGCTCAGGAGGCCAGGTAAGGATTCTGGAGTCTAGGACACAGGGGCTCCCTCTCTCAGCTTTCTACTATTCTGCTCACCCCCACCAGAATGCATGATTCCATAGAAGTCCTGGGTAATTTAGAACCAAAAAGCATTAGAGAAAGAAGAGGCATGGAGAACGTGTAGAAAAAGCTCTTCTTTAGGGGAGAGGAACAGAACATTGGCCAAGTTATTGTATCAGCCTGAGGCTGCTGCAGCTTCTGAGTCTTGGTACCATACTCTCTCCTGTACATCACACTGATGCCTTCCCTTCTTTTCTGCTGCCCAGGGGATGTAGAGGGGATAGGAGTGAACTGAGGCTCAGAGGGCCAGTAGGGATCTGGGAAGTCATACAGCAGCCTATGCTGAAGCTGAGGTGAGGTGCATGCTCTTCCCAGCAGGGAAGAGGGACAAGAAAGTCCCCTCATGTGGTCTCATCCCCTAAAATGCAGTGTGCAGTAACAGAGGCTTGTGGTCCCAGGCTACTGAATTATGGTTCCCTGTCTCCTGGAGAAAGGATTTCTGAAGGTCATTGGCAGAGAGGGTGACTTGGAGACATTCCATTGAATATTACCCTTCCAGCCTCCAATCAAAGCTGATAATTCCCTGGAAACATTTTATCTCATATTCCTGCTTCCTCATTGCCCCATGGAGGCAGCTTTTCTTCCTGAAGCCCAGAGACTGTTGCATCGGTGGCTTCAGAAAAACTGGATGGTGTGATGCCGAAACTTTGGCCTCGAAACGTACTGTGTCAACACCTAACGTTTTAGAAAATTTTGCCTGCAGGGAGCCTGGGTGCCAGCCCTGGAATCAGCTGAGACTTGGCAAATATTAATCAAATTATGAGTTAGGTACAGGAACCCCCTGGGAGAGTCTCCGTAAGAGTCCACTGGATCTTATTTACGGGTTGAGATGGATGCGGAAGGAAGCTCTGTAAGGCAGGGAAAGGTCCGAGACTGCCATCACAATGCACAAGCTAGGGGACTTGTTGGAGGGAAGGCACAGAAGGAGGACTAAAGAGCCTATGGATTTTTAAAGATCTGGCCACTCTTGGGGCTCAAACTGGATAGAGCAGGCAAAGGGCTTAGTGGAGAGGGCTGGGCAGAGCCACACTGAGAGGACAACTCACCTGACAGGGCCACCCCATGGACTCTCTACTTTTCTTCTCTCCTCTCGCTTCCCCTTTCCCTTCTTTCACCTCCTACCTTTCCTTTTCTTTCCCCCTTCTCCTACTTTCCCTGCCTTCTTTTTCCACCTATTTCCTGTTTCTCTTTGTGATTCCCTCCTGCACAACCTGTGTCCCAAACTGGCCAGTGGCTTTGCATGGCTTAAACTGTCTGGGGAATGAGGAAGTTTCTGCTCATGGGCCAAACCGTTGACTGTTAGCGCCTGTCCTTAACATTAATGAGGAACATATTTGAGTAGGAAGAAAAACACAATGGCTAACTTTAGTTTGCTTTTTAAAAAACCTGTAGGTCCCAGAAACAGAAAAGTGGATAGATGCAAATAGTAGATTCAATCAAAAAGCATCCATGAATACTCTCTGTGGAATACAAAAGAAGTATAATGTACACTCTCTGCTTTTTTTTTAAGATGGAGTCTTGCTCTGTTGCCAGGTTGGAGTGCAATGGTGCGATCTGGGCTCACTGCAACCACTGCCTCCCGGGTTCAAGCAATTCTCCTGCCTCAGCTTCCTGAGTAGCTGGGATTATGGGTGCACATCACCATGCCTGGCTAATTTTTGTATTTTTAGTAGAGAAAGGGCTTCACGCTGTTGGTCGGGCTGGTCTTGAACTCCTGACCTTGTGATTCATCCACCTGGGCCTCCCAAAGTGCTGGGATTACAGGAGTGAGCCACAGCACCCAGCCTCAATCTTTGTCTTTTTAATCAGCAAGCAGTGAAAGACCACTGAGTAGTGATCAGTCTAGTGTCCACTAAAAGAGAGGAGAGTTACTGTTCACAATAGCTGTGCATTGCACTCCTGCAATGTGCTCGATCCTGTTTGAGAGCCTGCAGGTAGACGGATGAAACACAAAGCTATCCCCCTCTGGAAGTTCCCTAGGCCAGTGGGAGAGAACAGAGTGGAGCGAAGGTCAGCATTCATGCGGGGACAGAGAGGACCTTGTAGAAGTTGTGGAGAAGAAACAGAACAGCACCCTAGTGCAGAGAGCTATTTGGCCTGAGATTTAATTTTTAACTCCTTGTTACTGACCAGAGGCACACTAACAGTGAAACAGAAATCATCCCTTGAAAAAAATCAGCTCCTCTTCTGCAAACAGGAAACAGTGAGGAGAGGAGCAGAAGCTGACTATTGCAGGCATGCTGGCACTTTACCACAATCTCACTTAAGTTGTATAACAACGCCATGCAGATTCCGTCATTCTCCTGGAGAGGAAACAAATCCCTGAGACTCACTTTCCAAGGTCCCACAATTCCAACTAGAGTTTGGAGTTCAAACGTGGTCTTTCCACTACATGGTGCTCCCCACAAACCCAGAGCTCCAGGCTGGCAAGTGGGTGCCCGGGCTAGAATCCTACAGAGGGAGTTTCACCTCTTCTGAACACAGAACCCTCAAGGGTAAGTGACATTTTAATGTTGTGGACATGACCCAAAGGTGCATGCTTAGGAGGGTGAGGATAAAGTCATGCTTTCTCAGGGAGGGAAGTGCTTGTTTCCCAGTGTCTCAGATATCTGCTTTACGCTCAGATATCTGCAACCCAGCTCCTGTACCAAGCAAACCAAGATCCCAAAGTGAGAAGATGCTTGTTCTCTCAAGTCCCGTCACCTCTCACCCAGCTTCTCTCAGGCCTCATTTCATTTACAGTGTTTTTTGCAGGTCACCAGCAGGAGGGCGGGATGGAAAATGCCTTTCTTCCTCATACTGTGCCTGCTACAAGGTGAGTCCCACACCCAGCCCAGGTTCAGGGCTTGCAAAATCAGACCTGAGTCTTTCAGGCTGCAGAGATTCCTAGCAGGCACTACAGCGACATTCAGCACAGTTTGGGCATATCCATAGCTTCTTTCCTGGGATCCAAGGTCATGCAGTGGACCCAGAGAGTGGTCGGATGTGGGCCCAGGAGGAATGAGGGTTGCGGGGGCCCACATGAGAGAGCAGAAGCTTGCCTTGAGCAGAAGCTTACCTTGAATAGTCTCTGTTTTGATATTCCCCTTCTCCCTGCTCTCTTGGATTTAATTGATGACTAACAGTCAGCTGAATTTTCAAGACCAGGATTCCAGGGCATGCAAAGGGCAGAGGAGGAGTGTTTCCTTACCACTCACTCTATAAACACTGAAGTGACAGGCCCAGCACTGGGGACATAAAGATGAAGACCCTGCTCTGCTCTGAGTTCAAAGAAACAACATAGGCAAATAAATAATTATATTCATTCATTTACTTATGTATTCAACACACTTTTATGAAGAGTTCAACATGTGCCAGACACTGGGGACAAGATAAATGAAAGTCAGGAACCCTGCCCTAAAGGCCCTAGCCTTTAAAATTGTGGTATATGGTAAAGCTGGCCAGGTACGAGCCAGGCTCAGATGACAAGTGGCCCTATCTCCATGCTGTAGTAGCTGGATTTCATTCTGATAGTAATAGGGAGCCATTGAGGAATACAGTGAGTATGCACCAAGAGTATCAGTACCTAGAATCTAGTCCCAAGTAGATGCTTAATAAATAGTGACTGAATCAATAATGAATGAATGGAAATTCCATGATAATACCAGAAAAAGGATTGACAACTGGCTTAAAAACAAATCAAAGTTTCAATGAATCAAATGTAGCCGATATTTGAGTAAGCACTCTGTGATAAAATCACACCACCTCTTTAATCTCCTGCTCTCCCTTTTAAAATTTTTGTAAGAGCGGGCTTCCCTTGCCCCAAATGACAACTGAGGCAGGCCTATGACTTTTCTGCTAAGTAATGGTCCTAAATTAATGGCCTTAAGTCTCAAATGTTCTAAATTTTAAGAACATGTTTAAGAAAATGTTCTCATTTTAAGTTTCCAGTTAAACACTTCCGTCAGCCCTTTAATCTTCATTTAAAGGTATACTCCCTCATCCCCCCTCAGGCCTGCAGTCCAGGAAGAGGGTGTGATTGCTGCTTTCCCTCTTCCCCACCCCTCTTTCCTCCCCATCTAGGCAGCTACTGCCTGAGACCCCAGCAGGGTGGTAGCAGTAGGAGGGAGAAGCTGCAGGAGGGCAGGAGCTCTTACTTGATGGATGGCCTGGAGCTCTCTGGCCTGGCAGGGGTTTGGAGCTGGCTGTTTGCTTCTTCCTCTGCGGATGCCTTTGTGGACACATGGATGGCCGCTGATGACCCGTCTCCTCCCTTTGCTGCAGGTTCTTCTTTCGCCCTTCCACTAAAAAGACCCCATCTCAGATGGCTGTGGGAGGGCTCTCTCCCCTCCAGGACCCATCTCCAGGCCATGGGAACATTTATGCCTTCTTCACCCCTCTGCTGGCAGGAGGAGAGCTCCTTCGCAGGTACAACCCCTACCCTTCCTTTGTCCAACCACGGACCTCAGACCTCTCAGGCTCTCTCAGACCAAGTCAGGCTCCCTCCAGCTGTACGCAGTCCTAGCCTTTTGTAATAGACACCATAGCAATAGACAACTAACTGCTGAGTAATGGTGAGGGATTGAGAGCCGGGGCACCCACCGCCATGGATGGGCAGGGAATTGGCATCAGGGCCCTCAGGTAGGCACACATTGACTCTAAAATGCTGGCCTGGTCTTGAATTCCCACAGGTAGTTAATATAAAATTTCCCAATGTGTAATTATTATGTGTAACAAAGAGCTACCACCCAGTGATCTATCGAATGAATATAAAATTTTCCAATGTGTAATTATTATGTGTAACAAAGAGCTACCAATCAGCGATCTATCGACTGAATCCTTAAGGTATTGGTTCTAACTTTGATATTAATAAAAAACTTATGTGCATTGCAAAGGTTGATTAAGGATTCTTAATTAGCTTTTTGCTATGAAGTCAGGTCACCCCATCCTGCTGATTAATGGAAGTATGCCCCTCTCAACTGTGCCACATGTAGATCAGGAGAATTCCTGAAACCTGAGACAGGAACACTTTATCAGGGCATCATCACTGATCAGGCCCCTGTTTGTAATTGTGAATATTGTAAATATTCACAATTTGGTAAATTTAAATGTTCATTTAACTTTCCAGTTAGTGGCATGGTTTGGGGTGGTGTGTTGTTTAGTTAAACTTACAGTGAGTATCAGTACAGCCATAACATTTACAACCTCTACTCTTCCTGTAATTAGATCTGAATACACACATAATAGGCAGCAAGGTAGATTTCCCGGGCCTGTGCAGTCTCAGAGGACCCCGTACTCAGAAGGTACTTGGTTAATGCTCTGCCGTTGCCATCTTGAAATTCTTGATAACTTTTGAACAAGAAGTCCTACACTTTCATTTTGCACTGGCACCCACAAACTATTTAACTGTTCCTGGCAATAAGATTATATTAGGCCATTTTTACGGTGCTATAAAGGAATACCTGAGACTGGGTTATTTGCAAAAGAAAGAAGTTTAATTTTGCTCTTGGTTCTGCAGGCTGTACGGGAAGCATGATGCCGGTATCTGCTTGGCTTCTGGTGAGGCTTTAGGGAGCGTTTGCTCATGGGGGAGGCAAAACAGAAGCAGCACAGCACAGGCAAGAGGGGGAAGAAGAGAAGGGGTGGAGGGAGGCCCCAGATCTCATGTGAACTGACTGAGAAATAACTTAATTAGCACCAAGGGTGTGGTCCTAACCCATTCACGAGGGGTCCATGACCTAATCGTCTCCCACCAAGCATGCCCCGTCCTCCATGACAGACTTCAAGCCCCGCAAGAAGAAAGGGAAATGTTTCAATTGGGCAAGAGGTTGGAGTTGTAATATTTCACTGTACCAGGCTAGATGTATAATTTTAGACTAGGTGGGGCTTTTTATTATCCAAGAGAGATTATTAAAGCTACTATACATGAGATGATGACTCTGATTTCATCGAGGAGCAGAGAAGTCCACGGAGAAGGTGTGAAGAGGCAGTGAGAGAAAGAATAAACTTTGTTTCTGCTTACACTCCGTCACATTTAAGTCATCCAGGAAGCTGGCCATATATGTGGTTCAACTACAAATTGTCCTTATGCCTGTTGTCAAGCAGTACTGCTCATCGGAGCTTATATGGTGGCACTTGGTTGTTTCTGTTTCTATGGAAAAGTGGCTAGTATGAAAAATCTTGCAACCACTGGTCCAGATAGGTACCCACCAAGCAGAACAAGATTCTTGTGTTTCAGAGCCCCTGCTCTTTTGCAGATGAAAGGTACATTCATATGTTCTTACTGTTTGGCATCTCTCTTTTACATTCCATGCAAACCAGAGCACTTCCATCAGGGAATCATCCCTGATGTCCTGAAAGGGTTCTTGTTTGTAATTGTGAATATTTTTGTCTTTTAATGATAAATTACTATCTAATGTTATCATTGGTGGCATGATTTGGACTGCGTTGTCTAAATCTACAGTGAGTGAGTGTCAGGTGTGGCCTCAGCCCTCCTACATGTTCTTAGATGGCATCTTTTTAAACATCTGCATTGGAGCACAGGGGAACCCAGGCTCTAGATGGACCAGAATAGTGTTAGCTAAATAGTGGGTAAGATTATGATTACATTTTCATCTTCCATACCTTGGGGCAATGTCTGCTTTCCCAGTAGCTGAACTCTGCCATTTCTATATTGATTCTCCTCCATGTTCACAGTGGCATTTTCTGACCTGACCCCTAATTCTGGCAGAGTTTGGAGCTTGTGACTCCCAAAACGGTGACTATGCTCACCACTCCCTCTCCTTTGACTTCCTTCTCTGTCTGCAGCTGCAAATGCATTGAAGGGCCCAAGGCTGGTGTCTGGGAATCCTGGAGGAGCTGTCACCATCCAGTGCCATTATGCCCCCTCATCTGTCAACAGGCACCAGAGGAAGTACTGGTGCCGTCTGGGGCCCCCAAGATGGATCTGCCAGACCATTGTGTCCACCAACCACTACATTCACCATGGCTATCGTGACCGCGTGGCCCTCACAGACTTTCCACAGAGGGGCTTGTTTGTGGTGAGGCTGTCCCAGCTGTCCCCGGAGGACATCGGATGCTACCTCTGTGGCATTGGAGATGAAAACAACATGCTGTTCTTTAGCATGAATCTGACCGTCTCGGCAGGTATGAGCTTGTGGCTGATGGGCCAAGCTTGATGCTTGAAGGAGAAAGTGAGAGAGAAGGTTTGGAACCCTAAAAGGGCTTGAAATATTAGGGGAGTGATGATGAAAAGCTGGGGCAAGGCAAAGACTTGAAGAAGTAGGCTTTCATTTCAGAAGAAGGTTGCCTTCAACAGAAAGGGAGATACTAGGAAAAACTTCCCCAGAGAACACTTGTATGCTCTCTCACCCGATTCCCCTAAATGTCATGAAATATATATTTGGTGTTGGTTCCAAGAGTGGGATAATGTGGCTTCTTAGGATCTGATAGCTCCGTGTTCAGACATGCAGAGATGCAACAGCACTGCAGAGAAGGTGTGACAGGCAGAACAGAAGAATTGCAACTGGGCTCACCCTCACACAGACGCTTGCTGAGCCCCTAAGCAGACAACTGCCAGCTCCCAGGCCTAGTCCCTCTGCTGCAGGTTCTGGCTGTTGATCCCGAGTCAGGCACCCAGAGCATAGGAAGGGCATCCAGGCTGTGAAAGGCCACTTGGCAGAGGAGACAGCATGACAGGAGGCATCCTGAGAGCAGGTTAATTCTATTAGATGCTGCTCTCCAGCCACCTTTTGCAACTGGCTGCTCTGCTGGAACTGGAGTGCTTCTTTAATCTCTTTTGACGAGCAGTATCTGTTGGGCTGTGGGCCTTTGGAGAATGCAGCGTAAGGATCCAAGACAGCTGGATAGAAAATACGTGGGCCTGGGAGAAGGAAATAGGAATGTAACATGTCAGTGTCTCTGCCACAGACTGGAGAATAAAATATTTCCCAATTTTTTATTTTATCCAACCTATTGACCAAAGACTGCATCTCTTAGTGAGGTTGCATTCCATATTTTAAATCTGGAATGTCCTTTGCCAAATCCAATGGCTGGCCTGCCAGCCTTCCCATGTGGCCTCCCTCTGCTGTCCACACAGGTCCCTCCAGCACTCTCCCCACAGCCATCCCAGCTGCTGGGGAGCTCCCCACGAGATCCTATGGAACAGCATTTCCAGCGGCCAACAGATGGAACCCAGGAACAACCCAGACCTTAGGACAGGGGACAGCATGGGGCACAGTTGCTTCAGCTCCAGGAACCAGCATGACCAGAGCTTCAGCTGAGGGAAGACAAACCTCAGGAGCAACCAGGCCAGCAGCTCCAGGGACAGGCAGCCGGGCAGAGGCTTCTGCCAAAGCACTAGCTCCCATTCCAGACAGTCCAGCTTCAGAAAGCAGAAGCATGTCCAATACAACAGAAGGTGTTTGGGGGGGCACCAGAAGCTCAATGACAAACAAGGCTAGAGCCAGCAAAGATGGGAGGGAGATGACAACCACCAAGGTTGATAGGCCAAGGGAGGACACAGAGAGGGTCAGCATAGCTCTTGAAGCAGCCAAAAAGGCCCTAGGAACCATTAGTCCGCCAGCTCCGGTCTTGGAAACTTTGGCCTGGGAAATTCTCCCACAGTGTTGCTTAGAAACCAGTGTTTCTAAGCAACAATCTCTGGGCCCCATTGGAGAAACAACTCCAGCTGCAGGCGTGTGGACCTTGGGAACCACCAGCATAGAGGCAGCATCTGGGGAAGGAAGTGCTGCAGGGGACCTAGATGCTGCCACTGGAGACAGAGGTTCCCAAGCAACGCCAAGCCAGGCCCTGGCAGTAGGACCCTGGAGGCCCCCTGACAAGGAGTCTTCTGTGAAGAGGTAACCCCCAAGCATCTTCTCCGGGTCGGGGGCCCCACATCTGTCTCATCCCTGGCATGTGAGGGAGGCCCCTCTCCCCCTGCTCACTTCTCTCCCTTTGTATCTATAAGACAGTGACCGACACATCAGATGCCCTCCCTCACTCAAAGGGTCTTGCTGTGAGAACACTCCCTGAGTATCTCCATGTGGTTTTCAAGTGAAATCTAGATGACAGAAAGACAATATTTAGGCTGGAAGCTTCCTCGGCACTTTCTGGTTTTAAAGATGAAGAATAGGAGCTCTGGAGAGAGGGGTGATGCAGCTGTGGCAGGGCCCAGTGCCGAGGCTGGAGTCCCTGGCTCCCACCTAGTCCTCTTCTCACTGGGAAGCATCATGGGGTCCACACACAGATGGGTGGAAGAGAGAAAAAGGCTCAGGCTTGAAAGCCTGAAGACAGAGATTCTAGTCCCAGCTCTGCCACTCATTAGCCGTGGAAAGCAGGGCTGCCCACCTGCTTTGGCCTCAGCTTCCTCACCTGTAAAAGGAGGCCATGGGCAAATGGTCTTCAGTCTCCTGCCCAGCTCCAACCTCTCTCCTGTGCTCTTTCCGTCCTCCCCACTCCAGCGCTTTTCCAGAAGATGAAAGCAGCTCTCGAACACTGGCTCCCGTCTCTACCTTGCTGGTCTTGTTTATGCTTATGGCTCTGGTTCTATTGCAAAGGAAGCTCGGGAGAAGGAGGACCTGTGAGTTGAGTAGCCCAAGGCTAGATAGAGGAGTTCTGGTTCCCACCTGATACCCTCAGGGCTGGATAGGGATAGAGTCCTGACAGGACTTTTCAATGCAAAAGAGCTAAATTCTAGGCTGAGCCATTTAACCATTCTCAGCCTCGGTTTCTTTTGTTTTCTCTATCTTTTTCTTTTTTCTTTTCTTTTTTGAGAGGGAGTCTTCTCTGTTCCCCAAGTTGGAGTGCAGTGGTGTGATCTCGGCTCACTGCCACCTCCGCCTCCCAGGTTCGAGCAATTATCCTGCCTTAGCCTCCCAAGTAGCTGGGTGTGTGCCACCATGCCTTGCTAATTTTTGTATTTTTAATAGAGATGGGTTTCTACCATGTTGGCCAGAATGATCTTGAACTCCTGACATCAGGTGATCCTTGACTTCCCAAAGTGCTGGGATTATAGGCATGAGCCACCCCACCCAACCTGCCTTGGTTTTTAATCAATAAAATGGGAATTCATCTCTATACTTATGTATCAATGGCATCCCAGAGTATAAGGAGAAGCTCCTGGGGGATTACAAAGGCTGTAATGCCCATGTTAACCATCAGCCACATAAGCAGAGAGCAGGAGTGCAGGACCCAGACCTGTGATCAAACCTCACATTTGCCCCCTTCTGCATGGCCCTGCTGAAATTCTCTGACAGTAATGTGCCCGGGTTTATATACTCTTAAAGTGAGAGCTCTGTGATATGTAGACCTAGTAAAGAAAGGGTGACCTTTTTCTGGCAGCTAGTGGAGGAGACTAAGGTTCTCAGACACAGGTCCTGAAGTCCAGGTCCTATCAGGGCTAGACTGGCTTAGCCTAGCCAACGAGGACTCCATTGCCCCTGTGTCAGAAAGTTCTTGAAAACTTGCAGTGGGTGGGAGTGGTTCTTAGGAAATCAAAGTCAGTGCTGTCCTTACCCAGAACCCTCACAGTCTACTCTGTGTCCCTGCAGCTCAGGAGGCAGAAAGGGTCACCCTGATTCAGATGACACGTGTTCTGGAGGTGAACCTCCAACCAGACCAGCTGCCCCATATGGAAAGAAAGATGCTTCAGGGTGACTCTCCTTCTGCTGGGACCAGCCTGACTGCCCCAGAGAGGAATCCAGGACCCTGAAGGATGGAAAGATTAACTGCTCAGTCACCATGGAAGGAGGACCAAGATCAAAGGCCTTCAGGACCCTAGCCTCTTTCCATCATCCTTCCTCCACCTTTCTGCAGCTGGGGCTCCAACCAAGGAAGAAAAGCTGGCCATCCTTGGGCACAGGAAAGTCCAGCATTGTCCACGTCCAAGGTAAAAATCTGACTCAAAGGAGACTTCAAGAAAGGTGCATGAAACACTGGAAGAGGTCACCAAGGAAAAGCGTGAAATGTCCATTCCTGAATGTTTGAAAATAGGAGGGACTCCAAATCAGTGTGGAAAGTGACAAATCCTCTCTCAGCACTCCCAGCCCTTGCTGGGGGCCCCTTTTCTGACTACCGTTAGCACTCACAATTAACTATATGTAAGTGTACCTGCCTTGCCTTCTCATGTAGATTCTAAGCTCCTTTAGGTCAGTAATTGTGTTTTATTCATCTCATAATATTCCCCAGAGAACTTCCAACTCATAGGACCCCAATAAATACCTGTGGCTGATTGACTGACTTGGGGACTCAATGGCCTTTGGGCACTCTGCCCATGCAAGAGCTCTGGGTCCCCCTGGACTTCTGCCCCTCCTTTTGGGAATCCTCTAGATGACCCCACAGGCAGGCGGTTTCCTCACCGAGACCAAAAGAGCAAACAGCCTTCCCTCACATCATCCCACCCCATTTAGACCCAGGCTCATTGTGCCATAGACCTTTTGACCCAGCCAAGGTTTTCCGGGATTTTCCTGCATTCACGGAGGAGCCGGGTATTTTCAGTAGATTCTTGCTTTCTCTGCAAAGCCCCTCTTGTTCAGATGCTTATAAATCCTCGATACGGAGGACTGCTGGAGAAGCTGGAAGATGGTTTCGGGGGTGAGGTGGGAGACAAAGAGAATAACTTTATGTGGATTCTGCCCTGTAACAACGTCTTCTCAGGCCTGTCAGGGAGCGTGCACTCCACACTTGGCCCCACTGTCTTTGCAGGAATCTCACCCGCTCTTTTCTTTTGCCAGGTCCCCTGGCAAGCCGTCTGGGTTCCATTGTTGGATAGAGCAGCCTGAGCAGTGGAGGCAGAAAGGAAAGATAGGCTCCAATATCCAGATGAGAATTGCCAGGTAGACATTTCCAGAAAGCTCAGCCCTGCCTTCTAAGCTGTCGGCAGCCCAGAAATCCTTCTGTAATACCTCCGCATACCTGGTTCTGAACTTAGACACCATACCAAGAAAATCAAAGTGATTTCTTGCAGGTTTCATAGCCTGAGAGGAAGCTGTTGTTGTGGATAAGGTGGGAAGTGGTACACATCTAACCACATGGAATCACAGAATCTCAGAGATAACAGATCTTTAGAGATTAACTAGTCTAAAACCCTCAGTCTAGAAGCAAGGGAAATGAGGCCCAGCTGGGTTAATGGAACAGGTAGGGTTAAAGTCACCAGGCTAACCCAGTTAGTTATAGCACCGTGAGGAGTGAGTAGCAAAGAGAACTTGTGACCTTGGTTTGGGGCCTTTTTCACTTCACCATTGCTGAGCAATGCACCAAAGCAAAACTCATTGCCAAAAATCAAGGATACCACAGTCATCCCTTGAGACTATTTTCCTGTTCACTTTCTCAGTGACCTGACCCAAAAAACCTGTAATGGAGATAGGACAGACACCATGGACCCCATTCAACCGGTGAGGAAGCAGGCCTGGCCAGGTGTATACTTTAGCCGACGCCACTCGCAGCAGCCACCTCCACAGCTAGTTCCGGGTTGCCGGACGTTGCTTGGATTTATGGTCTAGGTATCCGGTCAAGTCCTATCCTGTGTAAAGCTCTAAAGTCTCACTTATTTCTGTCTGTCTGTCTCTCTCTCTCTCTCTCTCTCTCTCTCTCTCTCTCTCTCTCTCTCTCTCTCTCTCTCAGGCTCGTGTATAGAAGGTTTCATGATCATTTCCAGGAATTGGTTCTCATTTGTGGCAGGGATGGGCCCAGGACCCAGAATATTTCTAATGCTAGATTCTCAGGATGTGAAAAGACGTTCAGAGGAAAAGAAGGTTTGGTAGATTAATGAGTTTTGGGAATGCTGAGAAACAACAAACATTCTTCTAGCAGGATCTTTCGGAACCTTTACTATATGAAGGTGGATTGTGAAGCACCTTGGGTTTTCACGCCTCGGGGTGGGGACATTCTGTGTGTTTCCCAGCTGTGTTGGACTATTGTGTTTCAGTGAAGCAATCTCTCAGGGCTGGAGTGCCTCACATCACTCTCGGTTTGGGGAAGCCTGATGCACTAAACCAGAGGTTGACCAACTCTTCCGTAAAGGGCCAGATGGTAAATATGTTAGGTTTTGCAGGTCATACAGTCTCTGCGGCAACGACTCGGTTCTGCCATTTCAGCACAAAAGCAGCCAGGCAGTCCAGAAGCACATGACCTCAGCTGTGTTCCAATAAAACTTTATTTCCAAAAACAGGAGGTAGGCTGGATTTGGCCCTTGAGCCAGAATCTGCCAGTCCCTTCACTAAGCCATGAAACCACACAGGACTCTCTCGTTCCTGCTCAGATCTGGAGATCAGATCCTATTCTTCCTCAAGAGCTTCCCTGATCACCTTTCTCCAGGACCACTCCCTCCTCCAAATGGCTTCAATACTTTCACTGGGAATTCAGCAGCTAGAATGTTCTATCTGACTACCCCATCTTGGGGGAAGGAGAAGAGAGGAGGCAACCAGTCCAGCAAGGGTGTTGGCCACGAGGCTAGAACCAGGAGCGCTTCCAGCAGTGAGGCTGTTATAGGGAAAGCTGAGCTCCACCAGTGGTGGTGCTGCTAGGAGTTCAAAGGGCCAGAGCAGAGCCAGATTAGAGTCCCAGGGTCAAGAGATTGGAGAGGGCAGAGATAAGATCCGAGAAAGAACTTTCAGGGGAGGGAGTGGGGAAGCCCCAACTGTTTACAGCTCTCCTTTATGGGCTAACTGATGCATGGAGTAGGCAGGAGGGTTGATTTAAAAGGCCAGAGCCCAAACCAACAGAGGCTACCCCCACCACTTGGTGTTGTCAGTGCTCTTGTGTTTCATCTTATACCTCCAGCTAGCATGATGCCTATGCCACTGAGGTGAGGGGCAGGCAAACATCTATCTCTGGGCCAGAATCAGGGAAACCTCCCTGGGGATTTCTGACCTAGGGTTAGAATCTAATTGAGGAAGTGGGGAGGTTTTCACAAGATCAAGCAGATTCTCAGGTTAGAGCTCAATGCTGCAGTTCTACTTACCCTTCCACTTACCTGCTTGTTAGCGTGTCTCTGCATAGCAGGGACTACCGTAGGTGTTTTCACATTGTGTTTCACAGTTAGAGTAACATTTCTGTAAGGTAGGTGTGATCAGTCCCACTTCACAGATGAGAAAACTGAGGTCCAGAGAAATTAAGTTATACTACTCAGGAAAAAGCACACTGGGACTTGATGCAAAGCAACCCACCTCCACCTCTCTCTCTTTCTCTCTCTCTCTCTCTCTCTCTCTCTCTCTCTCTCTCTCTCTCTCTTAGGCTCATGCATAGAAGGTTTCATGATCATTTCCAGGAATTGGTTATCTTTCGTCACCTAACTAGTTTATTACAATCCTGGCCTAATGAGGTATTTTAAAAGAAGTTCAGAGAGCTGGAACTAGCTAAAAATTCAGGCACCAGCCCCGAGGTCCTCACTGACATTTGTACAACAGCAGCTCAGGTCTTTATTTGCTGGAATGTCCATCTGTCTCAGGTTACTCAGGGCAAATGCATGACTCTAAGCCAACCGCTCAGCTCTCTGCTAACACGTTGGCACTTTCTTCCTCTCCTCCAATAGCCACTGTGGTCTGAGACATCCAGAATCAGCTTGATAACAGCCTCAGTCAGACCCTAGAGGAAGATACCTCCACACAGGGACCCATAATGCTCTTCAGCCAAGTTATTTGATTGTGCTCCCAGTGCAGATGTCCCAGAGCTGAAAGCATGACTAACATGGAATGGAGAATAGAGATTCTACTCAGAAAGAAACAAACCGTGCATTCAAGGCCCAGCATCACCGCACTCTTCATTTTTCCTGTGGTGACACAGCTTGGTTTACAGGCACTGGCCTTCCCCTGCCAGCCTGCTCCCTTCACTGTCAGCAGGAGAATGAGTTGCCATCCTACTGGCTGCTCTCTAAAGGGTCAGTTGAAATCCATGTGGACAGCAGAGAAGTGGCAGCCTCAGGAGATGACCCCAGGCTGCACCTCTGGGGGTATGTGTAGATCACCAGTGCCAATGCCCTGGGCCTCCAGGCCACTGTTTGCCTCCTGGATGTGTTGCATCAAAGACATTGATTGAGGCTGGGCACCATGGCTCATGCCTGTAATCCCAGCACTGTGGGAGACTGAGGCAGGAGGATCACTTGATGCCAGGAGTTTGAGACCAGCCTGGGCAACATAACGAGACCTCATTTCTACAAACACCAAAAAGACATGAATTTGCTGAGTAGAATCTGAACTCTTCTGTGTTCTGCCTCTGCCAACCTCTGGCCTTGTTCCCACTCCTCACTTATTTGCTATCTCGATCCAGATCTACCAGTTCTGCCGTTAGCACATAGGGTCATACAAAGGCCACTTCTTTCCCTGAGTGGCAAAGTTCTGGCTTCCTAATCATGAGTACTTTAGAGAGGAGGAAGAAAGCTAGGGCTACTGTGTCCAAAGGTGTTTTCTAGAATGCTCTGCAATATGTCTGAAGATACTGCATTTCATTGCAGGCAAGAGTTCAAGAAAAAGAATTCAGGATGTGGCTTCTTTAGGGCCCGGCATGGGCTGATTAGTAAATGCAACTGATCTAAACATTTTATGGGGACAGCACTTTCTTCCCTTACCTCCACCAGTGGAATACAGACAATTGCAATATGCATCACCAAACAGAAACAGACTCCCATTCTACAGATGGGAACATTGAGGCTCAGATAAGCACAGGCTGCAGGGGATTACAGGGGCTATTTTCCCAATCACTGCCTACCAGCCAGGCAAGGCTTGGGCCGAGAGCCAGGCTCAGACCAGGAACAAGGAAAGAGCAAGTCTTCAGGAGGACCCCAATGGCTTATGAGAGGGGCTGGGCCCTGTCACCTGACACTCCACCTGTTGACTTTGGATGTCTACTCCAAAAATCTTCCTCCTTCCGCTCCTCCCTAGCCAGGGTGTGGTGGTAAAAGAGCACAGGACAATGGTTCAGTAACCTCAAAAAAGGTTTGCTCACATGTTCCTGCCTCTCAGAGGCAGAGAATTAAAGCTCTTTGGAGTGTAGAGACTAGGCCCAAAGAAGAATTGAGAGAGCTTTTGGACCATGGCTGATTTTCCATTTCCAGAGCCTTTTAAAACAATTATTTCTACGACTGTTATTATTATTATTATTGAGACATACTTTCACTCTCTCCCCTAGGCTGGAGTGCAGTGGCACAATCTCGGCTCCAGGGTTCAAGCAATCCTCCCACCTCAGCCACCTGAGTAGCTGGGATTTCAGGTTATGCCACCATGCCCAACTAATTTTGTATT